TGTTGACAAGGTGCCTGCCTGTCTATTACACACTATCTCGTCCATACTGGCTCCAGGAGACAGTAGCTCGTTGCTGGAGGGGACGGGTGCACGGTCTCTGTGTCCGTGCTAGGCTCGAAGAGTGGTTCGCTTAACCATAGGGGATTCCCCATCGTTATCTTCTCGATCATTAGCTCCTCGTTCGTAAGCAATAAAGCAAGCACTGATGGTTTTTCCCCGTTCTGAATCGGGTGGGCGAACTGAAATGGCTGAAGAGCGGAATGACTGCGATAAGCTTATGCAGATCGCCCTTCAATTGCTCGATGAGTGATGCCTGAACCATCAGATCGTGAACATTGAAGTCGCCTGAGATGAGAAAATGGATGTATCGTCGTCGCAGTACCCTCCCTAAGTCTAATGTCTGGCGGGTATCCATCTCTGGGATGGACATTGAGGGATGATGAACAACACCCACAAAGCAACTGTCATTGGGTCTGCCGCGAACGGCACCAGATTGACTCTATGATCAGCATTCCCGAATCCTCCGCTGCTTCGCACTGAAGGTCACTGTTTCAGTATATAACTACTCACAGCCGTTGCTGTGACAGTCGTTTCAAAGAAGAAAACATTATGCATTGAGACCTCGACTTCGATCATTTCTGAGTGCAAGCGAGTATCACTTATGGTGAGGTCCCAGGTGCATGAAGCTTGACGTAGCCACAGTTCTACAGGCTTCTACAGGAGACCTGGTGTGTTGATGTCCATGTATGATGGTTTCTCTGACCTCAGTAGTGAGTCGGGGGGACTTGCATTTTTGGTATATTGTTGCGCTGACCGGCGAAATGTTGGCCATTAATCGTTTTTTAGTAGAGCGGTCACGAAATCATCTGTGTCAGATCTATGGATCACGCAATTACGCCCTTACTTATCACGTTGTAAGTAAAATACGGAATGTCCTCAGAGGTGACGTCGGCTAGCTGACGAATGTTATCCGAATTGTTTTCGGGAAGTCGTTCGATTAAATTGCTGCTCTTAAGTGTTTGCTTAGGGAACTCTGCTTTGATCCGTAGCTCGGAAGGTAGGTTGCTGCGCTTGACATGCAAGCAATCCTTTCTTGAAATTTGTCTGGATAAAAGCATGATCGTTACAATTCTCTGGCAACATCCTTTGTAAGTTGGCGATCTGCGAAACATTGAGCTAGATTGACCATGTCATTTTCTAAGGAGGGGGCTCGCGGATGTAGCTCCACTGCTCCTACTCGTAGGTGGATCTTTCATGCTTATCTTATCCTTCAACTTTGGTGACACTGTGCACCAGGATGGTCCTGCTTGTTGATTTCTTCCGGTATTCTTCCAACTCGTGCGTCGCTTGTTTGTACTTGATCTACGGAATACCCGGGAAGAACCGGATGGAACATGTCCAACTGCGGAGGCGAGCTATCGATAACCGAGCTGCTTCTGCTTTATCCGCGGAAGACAATACAACTCGAAAATGAGTCTGTTCAACGCTGTGCCCAAAGGTTGGATGATGGGTGACTCGTGTCAAGTTAGAGGACTTTTCTACAACACTAGGATAACACGTATGTAGTCCAACTGGTTAACATCATCAAGCTGCTCTCCTTTTAAGGAATCTGACGTCGATTCTGGCATGTTGGTGCACATAACCGATGCTACACCATGTGGTCTCTTTATGATCATGTACGCAGCCTGGATTTAAGTCGACCGTTCAGCTAGTCTCCATACAACCGGTGAAGGTTGTGCAAGTACGGCTTCACCTTATTCATTTATTCTGAATCCAGAGGGAGAAAGTTTCTTTTTGCATTTGACAACAACCCCGTTCCAACCATCACTAGTTTATAAGTCCTGCAGGAATGTTGGAAGAGTTTGGAGAGTGGGTGAGGCACTGGCTGTAGTTATTCTAGTCGAACTGGTTGTGTTTCTTTAGAGGGTATTTGTGCCCGTGATGGTAGTGATATCCAAAACCTCAGGTGATGCATTTCTAGCAGGCTACTCGCTCGTCTTCCTCAGTTTTGAATCGAAGCCTAACAGGAAGGACTTGGGTATATTCTCTGCCACGCTTTCTTTTAATGAAGCGCATTTGATGTCCATTACTTGTTCAAACGCAGCCACCAGTCCTTCGTGTTTCCTCTATAGTTCATGTACAGTCATTACAAGTAATGGGAGCATACATACCGCACAGAAGCACAAAGAATTCGGTATACCATTGTGTTGTTCCAGCTAATTTACTATGAGCTTAGAACACTTATAAGGAAACGTTGTGGGACAATTGGTACACGGGATTCCTGTCCGTACCTTTCAGTGGCATGAAGGAAAGCCAAATACTAGTTTCATGCCGGTCACCGTATGATGAACTTCCTTGACACAGCCGTTACAAACTATTGCGTTGATCGACGCATTTCAGGTTAATTGCTGAGCGCGTGTGGTTACTGGCTTTTTCTCAGCATGCGAAATTAAATGTATCTTAAGGTCGACACGTCCATTATACGCTCAGTGCATCACAAGCATCGCGCGGCAGGTTCAAACAGCTGGATCCTTCACTCGGTAATCGCTCTGATGTAGTGACAAAGTGACTGAACGATAAGGGACACTAAATGTCAGATAGCTACCTTACTTAGCAGTCGACAGCTGTGGTTGTGGACCCGCTTTTATGGATCTCAGAGTTGGGTTTACCTCTGAGACTACGAATGTTAATGTGTGTGATTCGGGGTTCTGAAAGCTGCGTGCATGTGATTCTGCGGGGAAAATTGCGAAAACCTCGATGTAAATGTAACAGGTGATGCGCAAAAATTAGGTCCAAAAAATGAAATGCCCTAGAGAGCGCTAGTGAAGCCGAGTCGAATTAGTGTACCAACACGCATGATAGTTGTGACAGTGTGTCCGATCTGGGTACGCGGCCAGATCGAATGCGACCACACGGCTGTGTATGAGTCTCGTAATGTATGTATATAAACTAGAGGAGACGCGTAATAGCTCGAATCCGCTATTTTCCTCGGGCACGTACCCTATCGGAAAGTTATTTTTCTGCCATTTCGTAATTTGTGGTGTTTGTGTAGTTTTTAAGAAATGTCACCAATTAAGTTTGCTACTATTGAGGATTATGGCGCTAGCGCACTGTGCACTGACAAGTATGCTTTGCACTGCGTCTTGCGTCTCAACGAAACAGCAAGCTAGCAACAGCGCTTCCAACTCCATCGGTCGACAAGCTCCTGTAACCTCTGTCCACATTAAAGCTGTACTTGTGGTAGAACTCAGCCGCTTAGGAGATACCAAAAAAAGTAAAATGAGGAATTTGGTTGTGTGAAGGTCTGGACAGCCATAGAGCACCCATTTTGGGCATAAGGGATCGATGAAATGGGGCGTACAGTGAATAAGTCGAAGAGATGGAAGCTGCATCTCTCCAAGCACATTCTTGGGCTGTAACTTAGTGAATTCGGTCTTAATAAATTTAGCTTGGACGACGTTTGCAAGGTGCAGGCCATACGAAAGAAAAGGTGGAATATTACATGGGCACAGGGTTAACTATAATGCCACTGGCCACGCACCCCAAAAATGCAGACTGGGAGGCCATTTAGTGTATGCTGAGTATGCATATTGGTCATCTGATACTCTATAGTCTTGTTCGTCTACCTATGACACATCTCAGTCTATCCCCAATGTGACGAAGAATTTGTACCCTGGGTGCTAAAAAGCAATGGAAAGCAACCAGACGATATAACTGCAGTTTTCCTACAAATATCCAGTGGGTCACAGTTAACTTACGGCTCCATGGATAGCTGTAATATCCTATTTGAACTACCGGCTATACCCATATTTATTCTTACACTTAAACTCTTCATCCTTTACTACTTTTGTATAATGGAACATTACTAAACCCTATTAGGACCAACGAAAATTTTGGGCAACTTTTTCTACTATTCGATTATGCTATACAAAATGAGCAGGCTACGTAACCAGTCTGCTTCACAAGGTCGAAAAATACGCCACTAATATTTTCATTTATTAACACGCATGCAATCATTAAGGCTTTATGTCTCCGGGTAATGTGACTAATACGCAACACAATACGCAACATTAAACCGAACACCGAATCAATCAGAAGATTTACGCATCAAGATCCATGTTTGCAAAAGCGACACTGTATAATTTGATCAATCGAGGCATAGTATGCAGTACTGCATGATGGTAAAGGCCACAAAATCGATAAGCGAGTTAGCCTCAGTATTCAGAAGATGCTTATGGTCTGACAGGCTATAATTATCGGAGCTTTCAAAGCATTGCTCTCATATTCTGGGAACTCTGAATAACCAGTCTAGGAGTCAGGCGGTCATCGTCAGAGTGTTCTGCTGCTGCTGCTCGGGAATACTGTTGGCGTTGGATGGCTAAGTCACCTAGTCAGTGTTAGGTCAAATGACGCTCTTGTGAGAGCCACTAGTATCCCGTGTATCTTGACAAAATCTCAGGAATTTCAGTGGAAGAGAAGGACCAAAAAACTAGGTACCGTTCGAAAACTTTAGTTGGGTTGGTGCGCTCAGGAAACCCAGGGAGAGGTCCCAGTGTTGATTGAGTGCACTTTCTAACACTGTGCCCGTATTAAGACAGTGGTGCGATTACGATTGGTCTAAGGTTGACCACCATTCTGTTTAGCTATATGTCGTTTAGCTATATGCCATGCTTTATCAGATTTCCTTATACAACGTTTACTCGTTCTTACCATGGTAGCCGATCAATTTAACTCGATTCACCGCTTCTAAGCATGTGAATAATTCGTAAAAACGAAGTGATTTCAATGTAAGACGTGCTATTTCCGTCGTGGCAATCTCCCTCGTTTAACAATTAACCGACTGAAATGGACGACTTTTACCGTAGTAGACTTCAGTAACTCGGCTTCTGAAAACGTCCAAATACTGGAGTATTCGATAAGCTAGGCATATCAACAGGTGAGTGAACATCCGACTTAGTCCGTCGGTACTTTGTAACGTTTTGAATTACACGGTGTCTCACCTTATCCGCCAATCCAAAATACATATCTTCGAAAATTCTAGGTCTATTCTTGAATGAAAATGTGCGCAAGCACGGGTTTCTTCTGAAATAAAAAAGTGGAACCTGTATTGAAAAGTGCTTGTGGAATCGTTGGGGCCTGTGTCTACAAATTCAGCATAAGCTTTGCTTGTTTTTTTAATATTCATTCGCCTGATGATGTGGGCATGTGTTTAATGGAAAACAAGACGATGTATGCGTTTCTGGTGCCACAAGTTGAATGTGTTCCGTTTCATTGGCTAGCTGGTACCAGGTAGTCTATTGGACCGCATAAACATCGTGAAGTTAATGTGAAATCCATGTAACTAGAAGAATCAAAATAACACCCAGTGGTGTTGTAGATGTATGTCAACGATCTCTCCAAACAACAAAATAAATTTCAAAACTGTACACAGTGATAAGCTGAATTCAGCCTCTTATGTGTAGTTGAGACAATTAGCTCCCTTTAGTAATTTGAATAAAGCAGTGGGAAGACGGCCACTGGCAGATGTCAACATTTCCTTTTGTCTCTTTAGTGTGTTCGCACTGAAGAGACAAAACGAAATGTTGACGTATGTTTGTGTTCGTTTTCTTACGGCTTTATTCTTATGTATATTCCCATCCAAACGATCAAATACCTACAGTGACAAGATGAGAGGAATGCCGGTGACAAGGGAGCGATACGGACAACCAATTGCGAACTGCAGTGATCGATGTCATCGGTTTCAATAACTGAATTTGTACCTTAACTGGACAAGCCTAAACTAACCAGATGGTCCATTCCTTTGCATAGAATGGACTTCTGTCACCGGGTGGCGGAAGCCTCAGCCAACCGGAGTAAACTTAAACGGCTTATTTACCGGCAACTTCGGATGATTCCGAGGAGTTTCCGCGCATAATATAATCTATCAGATACTGAGGAATCAAACTGATGGAATACTTAGAACTATTGAACATTAAGACCTATGTTTGTGTCCCATAATACTGGTTGAAGGTCTTCCGAAAGCCCAACTAATGTACGTGACACAATGTGTCCTTCCTAGTTGAATTCATGCAGCCATTTCCCGGTCTTTTACAATAGAACTAGCGCGGTTGCTTAATGACCTCGCATTAAGAATTGGCTTAGTCGTAAGCAAAACCTATTTTCATTTTCCTCTTGAAAAGCAATGCAAAGAGAACCTCTACCTTGGGAAGTCATACTGTTTTTTGTATGCCATTCTCTTCCCCGCATTTGACGACGACTTTATTGAGATGTGTTAGCAAGCTGTAATTCGTTCTTAATTGGCACTTCTGAGTGGATCCTGCGAAATCGCACCTAGGAACCAGGAATCACTTATCGCTCATCATACAATAAGTGTTTCGTTAATCTCGACGTTCGTAAATCTATATTACGGGTTAACTGTTTCGTCTATGCTTAAAATCAATATATAGCCAGTTAAAAGTCTCTACCGACTCGCTTTCTATGATGACTTAATTTCGGGTGCCATTTGTTTTAAACTCCCAGTAAGCACTCTGTCTTCTGAGCAGTATGGAAGGCGACAGAGCTGTGATCTATATCCCGCGTGTTAAAAGTGTTTCTCTCTTATAGCATGCCATCATCATCATTAATAATGTTAGATAGAGGTGAGTGACACCTCCGCTATTGCGTCCTAATACATGAGAAATGAAAAAAGGAGACGCCAGAGGTACGCCAGCTGAGCCACCGGTAGTGGATGGACATGGTTCCGGAGAGCCAACAGCCGTCTATTTGCCTTAAAAATCGGAATTGTGTCCGAAATGACTTCGTGATTGGAGGTTGAGACTAGGCGGGATGCGGGACAAATAAAATCACAACACAAATGCTATCGCGGTCGGTTTCAAGCCATAGTAACAAGCGTATCCAGCCAAACGTGTTCGTCGTCTTTCGTGCCCCAACCAAGAAGCCGCAAGGTTCCAACCAAAGCCAAATTCGTACTAAGGGCATTCATTCCTCTTGACCAAGTCACCACTTGGCCTCATCCTCTCCCCCAATTCGCAAGCCTGGCGCGCAAACAACACACGACGCGGGGGTCCATGTTCTATCATACGCAATATGTGGTCAAACCATCGGAGCCTGGTTGGTGAAATAACGGTGTTGAGCAGTTCACTTCCCTTCCCTGTGACATAAACAAGGCGCCGACGATCAAAATTGTTCAGCCGGTGTTCCCACCAGATATGAGCCAAAATTCGAAGGTACTAGGCTTCCAAATTAACTAACCTCTTTACATCTGCCGACCCCTTTGTGGAAACATTGAACGTCACGGGTACGTACGCGGAGAAGGTGGGCTTCTCAGTACACCATTCCAAGAATATACTCCGCGTTTGTTATAATATAATTCTATTTAGCTTTGGCGGAACTTCTACCGGCATACTGAAAGTGTGGCGTTGCGCAATACGCTTGAACCAAAGTTAGTTGGCATCTTCATAGATTAGCTGGGGAATACTGAATTCCAGCATACCACAGGATACGATGAATTTATCCTATAGCATGCCGGAATCCACTGATCCCCAGCTGATCCACAAAGATACCAGCTAGACTTGGTTCAAGCGATTTGTCTATCGCCACACTCAATAGGCTGATAGATGAATATTATTAATGCAGATGCGAAGCATGTTCTTTCAACGGCGTGCTGAAAACCCCACCTTCTCCTCGTATGTATTTGTGAGGTTTAATGTTTACACCATAGGGTCATTACTGAAAAGAAAGCAAACGTCGAAACCTATCGTGCATTTATCATTCACATTAAACCTTGAAACTTCTTAACGATAGTAAATGGGCAGTTCTGCTACCTAAAACCGAATAGGCTCCATCACTGTTGATCATTGTGCCATGTTCTGGCGCAGCTGCTAAACTTTATGATAACTGGGAGAAACGGAGTCGCTTCTCTCTACATTTTCTACATTCCATACTTGTGACTAGCACTTGAGCCGCCAGAGCGTATTTACTTTATGGTTTAAGCGCAGATTAATCCCTCCCAGTAAAGCGACCACAAATCGCAAACAGTAACATCTCAATTTTCCCCCTCTGATAATGCTTTTTATGCAGTAGATTTAGCTCTACCATACCAGATCAGGGAGCTGTCACTTAGACCAACTGCCACAACTCTGCTCAGTAACTTCATGGTAACTTGACCTTTCCTACGGGTTCGTATACTTTAGCGGGGCTGACAGAAGACTTTCAACCAGGAGTATAGGGCACACACGTGAGCCTTACTGTTTAGCAGTCCTAAGTATTCCATCGGTTTGATCCCTCAGCATCTGATAGGTTGTACTGTGTGTAAAAACTCCCCTGAATCATTCGAAGTTGCCGGTAAATAAACAGTTTAATTTTACTCGGGTTGTCTGAGGCTTTAGCCACCTGGCGATGCAAGTTCAGCCTATAGAAACGAATAGACCTCGTGGTTAGTTTAGGCTTGTTCTTTTAATGTAGAAATTCAGTGAGTTGAAAGGATGACTTCAATAGTTACATTTCGCAATTGGCTGTCCGAATCGTTCCCTTGTCACCAGTATTCCTTCCATCTTGCCACAATTTGTACTTGATTATCTGAATGGGACTTAACAAAATAGACTAAATACAGCCTATTTTGGTAACTTATATCGTTCGTGCTATGTTTACCTTTTTGAGCGGAAACGGTCGAACGTATTGCCTGGGGTTTTTAGTTATATCAATGTTCGCAGTCATAAACAAAACGATTATTCACTGGGCTCAGTTATTAAGCAGCGGGATATGAGACACAGACGTCAGCTACATGTAAACGATACTGGAGCGGAACTTTACTGTCAGAGCGAGCAAGATGAACGTAGATTAATTGACGTGCAATATGAACCTGATCTTTGCTAAGTGTACAGATGGGAACGCGACGTGCTCAGTGAGTGTTAGTTGTGTCCACCATCTACCGCGTACTCCATAAAAATTACGGGCCCAGCCAGCCAGCGTAGCTGGATTCGGCGACTGTATGATGATAATGGCACGAACTCTCTTTTAGACAGTTACGTTACGTTACTCGTAGAACAACTTTTCATCGCCACCATAAGTAACATTGCATAAGCTAAACTCCTGAAGCCTGACACGGTGCAAAGACACGTTTGACACAAGAATCGGTGGTACAGCGGAAAATGATTAGTAACGGAGTGTAAAACTATAATCATTATATAAAATATATTGATACTTGTTGATCCAAACTGGAGCCTATTTACCTACACAGAGAAGGAAATCTAAAGATATAGCTAATATCCGTCAGTTGCCCAGTGACAACACGAAATCCACCTAGTGCTCATTGTTCAACATGCAACCTACTTTTCTTCCCATTCTTGCAAATTATATGCGCCCGGCAGCAGCAATCGTCCCGTTCCGTAGGATGAGTACACATCCGAGCGACGGCCAGTATTTTTGAAACTAGACGTCTGTTTCACCGGATGGTATTTCATAGATGAAAGTATAGACCAGTTAGGTGAATACCTTGTCACAGGTGGGGCACACTGAAAGCAAGTGTATATTGGAGAAGTACTGACAGGTGCAGAAAGAAGTTGCAACTTCTGAGATGCGAATGCAATAGAATTCGAAAGCCTGCTTTCTTGGTTGCATATAACACTTAAGAGCCTTTGAGGATTCACATGACACTGCAGAATGAGAAATGTTACAATGCACTATTGCTAATTGCTAAACTTCATTAAAAAAAACCTTTGGACTTGGTTGGCTTGGTGCTTAACATTACAGTTTATTGAGCTTGTAAACGTCTTACGGCTCAAAAATCTCACTCAAGTGCCGACTCCCTACTTGTTAGAACTACTGTAACAGTCTGGAATATCCTTGGTTTACCTAATTTCGTTGTACCAATTCTAACGGAAACTTCCTTGTAGTTGTACAGATAGGCGATCGATGCAGGAAGTTGAACTACATTTGAGGTCCTTTGTCTGAACACAGCACCGACTTTTGCTCGTCTCCTCGGCCGGACATTTTGCGCAACGGCAACGCATACGCATGTTTGCCTTCTCCCCACCTATTAACGCCTAAAATCGGTGTCGTTTCTAGATCTAGTACACAGGGAGCTTCTCGTTGCGTTCCTGGCGCAAGCGCGACATCAATGCACTTGAAGCTCCAAAACGTAGAACAACTAATCTTGTTAGGACATTGTTTCATCTATCATACCAGCAAAGACTGAGATCCTACGGTGATGAATATCGATGCCAGCATGGAGACCTTAGCATGGTTTACTTAAAACTGACCAACCCAACTTACCGATGTCACAATCTGTTGCGGCTGAGCCAAAACACCAACCTGAGGTGCCATCAGCTCAAACTGGCTACGCAATACAGTCCACTTGATTGTCAACGAAAGGTTTTCTCCCTGCGTGCTTCCCGTGCCTGGAATGCCCTTCCGACTCACCTTATCCTTGCAAGTACATTAACGCCATTAATAAGACGCCTTGATGAAACATTTTCCAATTTGCATTACTTGATATAGTCCGTTCCACTTGGAGGACGAAATAACGCAAATCTAACCATGTGCTTAAAGGCCCTCTCCGCAACGTGGTGGTGAAGATACATGCAGAAGTGTTCATGTGAGTAGCCTGGATGTAGGTAGACTGGATTAACATGCCACAGCTGTCAAATGAAGCGACGCACGAGTAAACCTTGTCGTTTCCTGTTTTCTTTCTCACGTATTTACTGAGCTATAACAGCTCTCTACATTATTTTGTATGTGCACATTCCATTCCCACTTCAAACTATCGTTGTGCAGTGATGCATTTAAATCGGTCATTTAAAATACCGATTTTCTTATTCGTTGATTGTTTCAATGTTAATATTCCCTCCAACCATCCTACAGGACTTGCCAAGCACATGCTTTTTTATCCGTGATAAATCATTTTTCATTGCTGTACAAATGAAAGCCTTTCCTCGCAACCACTTCAGTTCTGGGACCTCAATGCTGATTCCTGCTGAAATACATAGCAATTAGAGTGACGATTACAGGAAGTAAATAAGTATGTTCTACGAGGCGCTACTACCACTGTTTGACGCATTGAGCAGAAATGCGTCATTTTGTTTTAAATACCTATCCTGTATCTAAAACAAGTCCCTCAAGTTATATTTTGGGTTCGCTGTACGAAAATTGGAATTAATCGGGAGTTCAATTATTGAGTTTTGGATCACCTGCCGTGTATTTCGGATTACGACAAGCAATCTCAATTGTGTTTACGGTTGACTTTGTAGTCAATGTGTGCCATTGCCACCACCTGGACGGTATCCGACCGAAGTGGAAGGTTGCAGTGTTGCTTCCAACGACCACTTCACTCCACGACCGACGGTTCTGTCTTGGTTTGAACTTATAGGGTAGAGATAGCTTGAGTTGTGAGTGGAACTCATCGCCTAGTGATTAGTGGGTATCGCTATGATCACTCGAACACATTGAGCTCCGACAGCAGTCAGGATTTGATTCCATGGCTTTGGAGGACCCACCCTGTGTGTTGGGCCGCGCGGTCTTTATTAATTTACCTATAGCAAATCAGCATTGCTAGAATATCTATCTAAGGAAGAACACTAAATAGTTAATTCTACTGTTGTAAATGGCGTAGCTGATTAACACTAAAACAAACAGGAATATGCCGTGGTAGAAAAACAAAAGAGAAGGAACGTCAAAGAAAATTACTTGTACGATTATGGCTTCGGGTGATCATCGTGTACTTCCATTATCCAGTTTATCGACAAGCTTTGAACTCTAACTAATACCCGCAACGTTTTAGAAAGTGCATTCATAGCCATCTTTGTTCACATTGTACGCTGCTTCAGCCTGAAAGATTCTTTATTTAAAAAACCACTTTGGGCGGTTACCAGGACGAGAATCGTACATCTCAACCCCCTTGTGTATGTCGCCCGCAGAGGATGACTGTTAAGGCTGTTCTGTGAAAATCGAAGTGATATGCGTTTAATGTATGCCAGTTGGTGAATGTGATAAGGGTAAACTATCGTGTTGGACAGATGGAACGAGGGAAGCAACCGGAGAACCAATGAGGTAGGAACCAAACGGATAGGATCAGGGAACGCAGCAGCTACAGCCTCCTGTATATGCTCTTTCATTAATTGGTTGACTTATAAAACACAGTACGGCGAGTTCCCTTTGTTTGTTTAACTGAGTCGAAGAAGAACTTTATCGACTCCAGACGCTGTTGTCAATGGAAGTGGGTGGACACTATATGTCATAGACAGTTTGGTGTTAGAAGCGTGGTTAGTTCCGTTACTTATGCTTTCCCTGAAGAACCTAAATTCGATGGCGCATTAACTCAATAACATTTATCTGGTGCCCCAGCCTCGATTGAAGTGCGCACGAAATGCATTAACACGTGTTTTAACACTTGAATAAGCATCTGATGGGAGAAGGAAATAATCAGCCTGTTTGGTGAATCACACGAAAACTACCTAAGAAAGATTGCGAAACGGATAGACCTTCAAGAAAATTTAACAGAACATGACTGGGGTTGGACTACGGTAATATGTAACAAAGCAGAGTACTATAATTAAAATACAAATGGCAACGGGTTCCAGAGCCGCACGAGGTAAGCGTGTTAGAAACAATTCACAATGGGTCATGACCGTACATAATCACAATGAAAGCACAATGTGCCGCTTGGATAGCACACCGCACACTGGTGTTGGGTGAACGGGGAGCAAAATGTGCACATCCGGTCGAATCTTGGGATGTACAATCAGGATGAAAATGAGGACAACACAGTGAAGCCACGAAACTGCCAACAGCGCGGAAGGTTAAGCAAGGGAGTTAGTGCGACACATCCAATGTGGTCTCAGGGGCATCACTGTACCCGTTGCTTAAATGGGTGAAAAAGGCAGGCGAAGCAAGACAGTGCGCTTGGTATCATTGACGTGAGACCATCCGGACGGGACTTCACAAACGTGCCAAACAAGACTGATTAGTGAGACATACCTTGCAGTTTGTGTGTTGATTGATGAGAGCGACAAAGGAATTGGACTTTGTGACCAAATTCAAATGCAACAGCGTAATAGTGCATTTCCGTTCAGTTTCTTGCATCGTTGCTAATATGATGTTAACCAAGTCTTTCATACATGCATAGCGTGACTATGCGCTTACCGGGACTAGTTTTCCACCGTGTTCCACAACACCAGCACGTTCAGTTGTCGTTTCCCGAATTGTACTGAATTTAAATCGCACAAATTCCAGCAACAAATCCATTAACCCGATGAAGCGACATATCGAAGCATTTTGTTATCAATGAGTACCCACTATATACATCTAGAAAGAACTTTACCTTGCGATATTACAATGCGACATTAAAAACACAATACATCGAAGATTCGCCGAAATACACTGTTTCTTCTTTAAAGTATGCTGCTTACAGCAAGAAACAGCAGTCCGGCACTAAATTCTGATTATAAGTTATGTGCAGTGACTGAAACTGAGGGGTTGACCGTAGTGATATTTATGCAAGCGTTGTTTCACTTCCATATGACTGCAAACACGTATGCGCTCATCGCAAAAGTACCTAGTTAAGGTTATTAAGCTTTGTTCACCCGTCCGGAAGGACTCCCGTCTCTGTGCCAATGGAGAGTGTCAATTACCTAGTCATTCGGAATCTAAACTCTAACCCTCAATTTCCTCTTGGGAAATAGCCGAAGTTACGAAAAGAACACGAAAAGCACTTAGTACATATGATAAACTTAAACTAAAAAACGACTGGCAAGAGACGTTATTCCTTGCAAAGATGAGAAGGGAACACGGCATCTATTGTGCAGCAAAGTGCGATCCACAGTAGCCAAATTTTCGTCTGTTCCTTTTTCGTGACCCTCAGTTCGTACCCTTTCCCTGTGTCGTCTAGTTAAACGTTCTAATTCCCTGCACAGCAGCACCTGATTTTGATACGCACCAACTAAAGGCTGTAAAAATGGGTGATGATGTGAGCATTCAGTGTCTAATTAACGCTGCTAATCATCAAAGTGGGCAAACCATTAAGTCTTATACCTCTGATCGGAACGCCGTATCTGTGGCCCCGCCTTCCAGTGGCCGTCGATGAGCACTGGCTAAGAAAAAATGTCACTACACATTCATACCGTTTCTCATGTGACGTTACCAACAGTATGCGCCTCAGTGATATATTCTAGACTCAACAAGTAGCAAAACACGGTGCAACAGTGGATCTCTTTTAGTTGGTGCTCACATTGACGCACGAAATGAGGTGTAGCGAAAAACATAACGCTCAGAAATATAACTGTGAGTTATTAGCAAGTCCTTGTGCATCAGCATTTTTACAAGTAGCGTCACCAGGTTCGATGATCTAACGTTACTAACAATAAAACATAGCCCAAGTTCGAGTCCTAACTCCAGCCCTCCCTGTCAGAAGATTCCGCTTGTTGATACCAAATTGAGTATCTCTCTAACTCGTTGAGAATGTACTTACTAACTGTGAAAGAATGAACTCATCTGTAGGGGGAATTATTGTATCCAGTAA